ATTTTGATATTTTTCAATAGAACATCCACCAATCAAATGGAAGTATAGCTGATTTTGAAATCTTTCAATAGAAAATGAAACAATAATGGAAATCAAATTGAAATATAGCTGGTTTTGATACTTTTCAATAGAAAATGTAAAAAAAGGGGAAACATAGCTGATTTTGATATTTTCCAAAAGAAAATTTAAAATCAAATGATATTTTGATATTTTTCAATAGAAAATCTAAAAATCAAATATAAAAATATAGCTGATTTTGATATATTTAAAAAGAAATAAAGTAAAATCAAATTTAAACATAGCAGATATTGATATTTTTTTTCCATACAAAATGTAAAAACGTAATGGAAATCAAATGGAAATATAACTGATTTTGATACTTTTCAATAGAAAATGTAAAAATCAAATGGAAATATAGATGCTTTTAGAAAGTTTTTAATATAAAATGTAAAACTCCAGGGGAAATATAACTGATTTTCGTCCATTTACCTTATCACCCCTAACAACAGGAACATTCCATTTTACACGCCTACGTGAATCAACTTAAGCAATCAGAAATCTTACTGTGCTAAGCAGCGATTTCTATTGGCTCGCAATGTAATAATTCAAAAACTTCACGTGAGGAAGTTAAATTGCGCCTAAAATTTATTCGAGACGATCCTGACATCTAAATCCTTATATAAGGAAGATTTCCAATTGACCAAATCAGTCAGTCCAGTCAGTCACTAGTTCACTTCTGAACGGACTATTCGGTTGAACTCTCTGCCTTTGGGCGGGGAGGAACCCGAACGAGGCTACGCCGAGAGGCGGAGTCTCGTTCGGTGAGGTAAACCGGCCCTGAGCCCGTTTATACGGGTTTCAATGGGCATATTTTTGGGCCGAGCCCACGGGCTCGGAGAACCCACAACAAATAACCGACCTTGTGTCACATGATGCCCCAGTGGGGGGGGGGGGTGACTGAATATCGTCAGTCAGTCCAGTGTTGGTCAGTCAGTCGACTGGCTGATCGGTTGAACTCTCTGCCTTCGGGCGGGGAGGAACCCGAAAGAGGCTACGCCGAAGGGCAGATTCTCTTTCGGGGAGGTAAACCGATCCTGAACCTGTTTATATGGGTTCAATGGGCATATTTTTGGCCAAGCCCACGGGCTCGGAGAGCCCACGTTAAAAAGGCCTTGTGCCACATGACGCCCTCGTCGGGGTGGGTGACTGAATATCGTCAGTCCAGCGTTGGTCAGTCAGTCAGTCAACTGGCTGATCGGTTGAACTCTCTGCCTTCGGGCGGGGAGGAATCCGAAAGAGGCTACGCCGAAGGGCGGATTCTCTTTCAGGGAGGTAAACCAACCCTGAACCCGTTTATTCGGGTTCAATGGGCATATTTTTGGCAGAGCCCACGGGCTCGGAAATACCACGTTAAACCGGCCTTGTGCCACATGATGCCCTCGTGGGGGGGTGACTGAATATCGTCAGTCCAGCGAACACAGAGAAGCGCTAATCTAATTCACGTAACTTGCTATTATAATTTTCCCGCGCAAACGAAACCACAGCTGACTCACCCACAAACTCGACTCGAAGATTACTCTGTGAATACAAAGAACTTCAACCCTCAAGACTTTACTTATCCAAAGTGAATTATTAACGCTCACTACAATTTAAGTAAATACTATTATTATTGAACATATTTCATACCGTTAAGAGTAGACTACTTCTGAATGACTTAATTCTAAAAACATAATAACGGTGTTTAAACATTAATTTCCCTCCAAAACTACGACTACATAAATGGCAGACCCACTTCCTCTTACAGAAACAGCAATTAGGCTTGAAATGCCTGCATTCAACACAAATGTTCAAACTTGGTTTCTACAATAAGATGCGATATTTCAAGCCAGGCATGTAACTTCCCAACAGTCAAAGTTTGCGTCCGTAGTGGAGAAATTACCTGCGGAGGTAGCAGCCGAAGTAGTTGACATAACTTCTCTACCGACCAATAAGCCGTATGAAACTCTTAAACAAGCTATTCTTCATAGAACTGGATTTTCAGAAGAGAGGAAAATACGAGATCTCCTAACTAATGTAACGATCGGTGATTCGAAACGATCCCAGTTGCTACCACGCATGCAGTTACTATTAGGTGATAATAACATATCATTCAGAGGTAGGCTACCCTGTTTCGCCAAATGTAGCTAGATAAATTACCGCCAGAGATGGTACACATCTTAGCAGCACTATCAGATGAAGTCGACACCCAAAAATTAGCGATCATAGCCGACAAAGTAGCTGATACTGCCCCAGTACGACAAATTTCTTCTACGGATACCATAGATGGCCTTGTGCCAGACGTCAGTCAACAAATACAGAAATTGTCACTGGAACTCAAAAAAATGTCTTTACAACTTCAAGATCTACAAAAGAAACCACATGAAAGTCGGAGTAATAATTTTACTCGACACAGACACCATGGTTCACGATCGACATCTCGCTATAATTACCGACACCGCCGTAATTGCAAATATCGTTATCATTTGGCCATTTCTTATACTTTATGTTTGTGGATATTGCATATTTTATTTGCAGCACAATCTTAAATATTCATGCAGCCTTCCGAGATCCACTACATAAATTTATTGATAACCCCGACGTACCTTCATTTATTGGTAACCTCGACGTTAAAATTTTTGGTACTGTCGCAGTGTGCCCAAACACCACTCCCACCTTTTCTTAAACAACCCCGGATATGCCTGCCGGTAGAGAAAGGTCACGACCCTTGTGTGCTAAAAATAGCAACGAGATCCTTTCAAACTGACAGAAACACACAAAACTCAATTTTCGCCACTAAACAAAAATAAAAGACCTTTACTTTCGAACCGAAATTAATTTAAATACAGTCAACAAACACCGAACACACTTTTTGACTGTAATTAATACGGCCCAAAATTAATTATATTCATTTACTTGTTTAGCGTCACCGCTTCTCGGTTTTTAGCCGGCCGCGGAAGCAGCCCGGCCTTCGGGTTGGGTTGCGACCATGGCAAAGTCTAGTTTGGACCATATCAGGACCTGCTAAGACAAGCTAAGACTAACTTGGACCAGAACTTGACTAAGCTTTGACCAGCTTGGACATGTTATGACCAATATTTGACCAGTGACCCTATGCGGAAACGCTCGGGTTTCCCACGAAAAACGACCTTGTGTCACATCTTGACCCCGTGGGAGTTAAGTAAATACCGCCGGCCACGGAAGCAGCCAGGCATTCGGGCTGGGTTGCGACCATGGCAAAGTCTAGTTTGGACCATATCAGGACCTGCTAAGACTAACTTGGACCAGAACTTGACTAAGCTTGACCAGCTTGGATATGTTATGACCAAAACATTGACTAAGCCTTGACCAGCTTGGACATGTTATGACCAATCTTTGACCAGTGACCCTATGCGGAAACGCTTGGGTTTTCCCACGAAAAACGACCTTGTGTCACGTCTGGACCTCGTGGGAGTCAAGTAAATACCGCCGGCCACGGAAGCAGCCAGGCCTTCGGGCTGGGTTGCGACCATGGCAAAGTCTGACCTGCTAAGACAAGCCAAGACCAACTTGGACCAGAATTTGACTAAGCTTTGACCAGCTTGGACATGTTATGACCAATATTTGACCAGTGACACTATGCGGAAACGCTCGGGTTTCCCACGAAAAACGACCTTGTGTCACATCTTGACCCCGTTGGAGTTAAGTAAATACCGCCGGCCAGGGGAGCAGGAAGCCTTCCTGATTTGCGACTTTGACGCGCCCAGTCAAGTCGACCAAGCCCAGCAGCTGACGGGACCCTGCAGCAGTAGCAGCAGTTGTTCAAACACTCCTTTTCAGGGCTAACTTCCGAAAGTCATTCGATCACCACTCTTCAAGGCTCCACTCAGTCCACTCTTTGCTACTGCCTTCCCTCTGAGACGCCAGCTCACTCCTGCAGCTTCCAGCACTCCTGCAGCTTTCAGCTCACTCCTGCAGCTTCCAGCACTCCTGCAGTTTCCAGCACTCCTGCAGCTTCCAACACTCCTGCACTCTCCAGCTCACCCCAACAGCTTCCAGCGGCCTCCAGCTCACCCCTGCGGCGCTCTACTGACGTCCCGCTACCTATTCCAGCACCCGCTGACGATCTAATCCAGTGCCCACTGACGTCCAGCGCCCGTTAACGTCCGGACACCGTTCCCGACCAAACGACCTCTGTCGTCTTACCATCCACCGTTCGCAAATAAAGACACGATTTCCATCGTCTACAACGGACCATCTGCGTTTGTCATCCTTCTTTGCTATTGCCATCTCCTTGCCTTTGTGTCCTCTATTTTAGTTGTACGGTCGATTGGCACTCACACCTCTCGACCCGCTGCAACAGTACTCCTACTACCAGAATTTATTGGTTGTCCTGTTTGCCGTGCTACCTAAATTAATTGGTAATACAACGTTCTATGTTTATTGTCTTACTTCATCGGCACTTGAATTTATAGCCTACCTCGTCGACTTCGGGAATACATTTTCCTCTGTCAAATTTTGATCTTTACGATATACTCAATTACTTCAAAACATTTTAGAATCTTGAGTGTAAATCTCTTGCCACTACAATCTTTCTTGCCAAAAAATATTTTCGATAATTCCAGTTCTCTTCAATGGAACTCTCTCTGTCCCACGTGTATGTAATATAAAACAATATGGCACAAACAAGTGACAACAAGACTGAATTTTCACTCAAGCTAATCTTGCCTGACTTCAGTGCGAATATTCAAACATGGTTTCAACAGGTTAACGCTATTTTTACGACACGTCACAGTCAACGAAATACGCTTATGTGATTGAGAAACTTCCTATAGATATAGCTGCCGAAATATCCGACCTCCTGACGGATATCCCTGTCGATAAACCGTACGACAAGCTAAAAGATACATTCGGTTGAACATAAATTGAAAGAACTATTCACAATTTCACTCGGGAACAATAAACCTTCACAACTTCTCCGACGAATGAAAATTCTTCTCGGTAATAACTCCTTGACTGACAAAATCCTGAAACAACTTTGGCTAGACAAACTGAAACCCCACATGGTTCAGATCATAGCTTCTCTACCCGAGGATATTGATTTAGCCAAAATAGCTGAGATCGCAGATAGAATAGCCGGTTCAGAACCCGCTACCCCAGTTCTTTCAGCAAATTCTTCCACTACCGAGCCTGCAGACCCGATATCTACACTAACCAACCAAATTTCTAAGAGATATTTCGCAGCAGATGCAGCGAGGGAGAAGTCAATTTCAGCATAAGCAGTACTACGCAACCGGCAGATCCGCTTCCCGCCACCGTCAAAGCAAGTTCGAGCGGGAGTGTTGGTACCATAAACACTTTGGACGGCGAGCATTTAAATGCATTACACATTCGGAAAACGGGTATCCCGGCAGCCATTAAAGGCGGGATGAGCTGCTGGGACGCAAACTGCCAACCGCCTATTTTACGTTAATGACCGTAATTCAAAACTCAACATTTTGGTTTTGAGCACAAGTAAGTGTTATATCACCAACACGGTGTATGATGCCTGAAACCACTTATTTGCAACTACAATCGGCAAACGGAACTAAGATTCAAACCTTCAGAGAAAAATTACTCAATCTGAATATTGGACTACGACGACAGTTTTCCTGGAATTTTGTAATAGCCGATATAAAAGTCAATATGCCAATATTAGGTGCTGATTTTCTTGCACACTTCGGGCCTTGAGTGGATATAGACACTCGCACACTAACTGATAACATTACATCCTTATCCATTAAGGGTATTCGTACCTTTAAACGAACCCTAGGTATTTGTTCTACAACTATTAACGATGATGTTCGTCGACTCTTACTCAAGTTTCCGGAATTATCTACACCCTTTACATATACTGAGCCAGTTCGACATAAGGCTGAACATGAAATTACTACTACAGCAGCTCCGTCCATTCCAGTCCGCGTCGTTTTCACCGTGAAAAATATAAATTTGCGAAAGCCGAATTTCAGCGTCTTCTTCAACAGGGAATTATATGTCCTTCTTCCAGTCCCTATGCTAATCCCTTGCATATGGTTCCTAAATCTGGAGCTAATGATTGGCGTCCGTGTGGTGACTATCGCTTATTAAAAGCTCAAACTACACCGGATAAACATCCTATTCCTCATTTGAGAGATTTTGCAGTTACTCGGCAAGTCTTCTCTAAGTTGGACTTGCGGAAAGTTTTTCATCAGGTTTCCATTGCTAAGCGGGATATTGAAAAAACTGCAGTAACCACTCTATTTGGTCTTTTTGAGTACGCTTGTATGCCTTTCGGGCTTAGAAATGCAGCCCAATCTTTTCAACGTTTTATTGATGAGGTCTTGCGCGGCTTTGATTACACTTTTGTTTACATAGATGATGTCTTAATCGCTTCTAAATCACAAACTGAACATTTAAAACACTTACGCGAAGTATTTGAACGACTTCGTCACTTCGGTTTAAAAATCAATTTGGATAAGTGTCTGTTCCCTGTTTCTGAACTAGTATTCTCAGGCCATACCATTGACAGTACTGGTATTACACCTGTCAATTCTAAAGTCGATAAATTCAAAGAACGTACTACCTTAAAGCAACGACGCAGATTTATTGGTATGATAAATTATTATCTCCAATTTATTCCTAATTGTTCTGAAATTTGACCAATATGTTAAAAAGTCAACAGCGAAAACTCTCTGACCAATATGTTAAAAAATCAACAGCGAAAAAACTGTAAAATTTCACTTAATGAAGAGATTCACAAGCGCAAAAGATATACATGGGAATTATGCTTCAGAGAGATGCCAAAGAAACAAACTTCCTTTATGAGAGATTAGAAAAATTTATACAACAAACTTTTTCACTGAATATATAGCAATTGCTATGTTTTTCACACCCACATATTCTCAAAGTCATTTTATTTGCCTGCGATTGGCTAATAAATTACTACTATCTTTGTATAGGACAATTTATCCATCGCAGTCGTTCCTTTGAATCTTTTGGTTGTGAGCATACTTACTTATTCTGTTTAGTACAAGTGTAGTGATTGGTTAATTTCGTTACTACAAACTTACATTTTCTCTCTGTAACTTTCGCCAAGCCCAATTTACCAGAACTGCGTTGATTCAAACCAGTTTATTCACAACACATACAAAGCAATTGTATTTCTTCGTGTTATTCATTCTTCACATGCAAACTTTGCTCTAACAATTATTTCGGAACATTTATCTCACAAGAGAACTTTCTTCAAACAGTTGATTACAATCAATCTGCAGTTAAAGGGAAACAACTTCCTTCTCTTTAATCTACATTGAAAATACAAAATTATTTCATGCCTGTTGTTGTATTTTATTCAATATACATTTATTTGTTAACAAATTGGAGTTGTTATTATTACTTGAATCCTGGATGTGGAAGTATCATTAATATAAATAGTAGTAGTACCTATATATTTGGTACCCCGCTACAAATATCTTTCATAAAAAGAAAAAAACTTTTGTCTAAGTTAAATTCAACATTTAAATCTAAGGCAGACAAACTTTTAGACATTGAACATTTCCGCAAAGAACCTTTTCTCTAAAATATACTTTTGCACACATCATTACAAAGAAATTATAAATTGTGTATATAAAATTTAATTTGTTGTTTCAAACATGTATTTTTTGTCGTCGTGATTGAATATCGTTACCATTTGGCCATTTCTTATAATTTATGTTTCTGGATATTGCATATTTTATTTGCAGCACAATATTTACAATATTCACGCAGACTTCCTAGATGCACTACAGGCCTACATTATATGACTTGCGTAGGTAGTGCTGCCCTGGGTCAATAGGATGTCTGCTGTAAGATACTATGTCTGGCAACAGGGATCTGCACCATGCCACACAAGCAGAAGATCCCAGTTATGGCTGTCAGAAATTCTCACACCGCATCACCCTTTAACATGGCTTCATATATTTGCATGGGAAATTTTAGTGTCTTCTTGCAGTTAAAAACACATTGATTTGAAAATTTTTGCAAAAATCATATAATGAAACTTATTGGATTTTAATGACACTTTCAAAACTTATTCAGAAATTGATTTAATTATTTTAGAATGATGTCTTTCTAGAAAATCTTAGTAAAATATTTTTTTACATTTGTTACCCCTGTTCTTATTTAATTTTATGGAGTTTTGAAAAATTCTTAATGCTTCTTTAAGTTATAAGGACAAGTCCTAGGAGAATTTAAATCATCACATCTTTTTGTAAAAGATGACCCCCAGTTACAGAAAATCTGCTCTGAATCATAAAATAAAAAAAATGATAGACCTTATTTAATTAGAAAAGCTTTAATTTTAATTGATTTTTTGAATAAGATATATTATGGAGACTATTTACATTGTTCGGACTTTTGTCTTTATCTTATTGTCATATTCACAATGTTTCAGTAATTGTATGCTCTGACCTTCTTCAGGTGATATACACCAAAATTTCAAATTTCAAACCAAACTATTTTTTCATCAACCGGGGGCAGATTGTTATAGTTCGACGTGCCATGCTTTTTCTTGATATCTCAGTTTCAGTTAATTCCCTTTAGGAACTCAAGTTTTTGTTCCCTCCGCTTTTGTCAAGAATTGAACTCACAATTCCAGCCACTGGATTACTTTAACCAATACTTTTATTTACTCTGTCCTTGGGGACATCATTGTGTGAATTTTTTGGACATATATATACCTAATGTCTCATATTTGTGCTGTTTCTTATTTTTCCACACACACATACACACAATAAAAATTAATTCACACCACGTGTATCAAAAAATACAATTGCGCGGGAATTCATTCCTTACCATGCCCTGTGGGGTCAAAAACAAGGACAGCGCACCCAAAAGTTCGGACGTAGTGAAAAGCACACCACGTGGTCAAAATATGATTTATTGACCAATCAGGACTCGACATAAGAAACCCATTTCTTAATCTCCCCGGAGCCTCATCATTCTTATATAAGGAAGGTAGAAACTCTCATCAGAAGGGAGAGAGAACAGCGACAAGCTGGCATCAAAGCGACACGGACAGTTTCGAGCACACACACACCGAGAGGATTCAGCGGTTCACACAACAGGCAGTATCACGTATCAGTGAACATTCTTTCACCCCTCTCTTTCTCTCATCTCGCTCGCTACACATAGTCCTACCTTTCCTCTCACATTCCCAGTTCCTTTCTTTCTCTTTTTCTTCCGCAGCTTTACGGACAATTTCATTTTGTACAAGAAAAAAAATTCTTTACAAAAAATAAACAAAAGTTTATTTTACTTTATTTGTAGTGCATTTTCTTTTTATTATTTGTTTGAGGGACTTCTTTGCACCCTCTACATATTACAATTTGTTGTTTTTTTTTCTAGCTCTCTGTATTACTGGTTCCCATATTGTATTCATAATCAATTTTGATGTCATTCAGTCTTAGTATGATTCTTCCTCTACTGTTGAGATCTAATTTCTTTTTTTTATATATATATATATATATATATATATATATATATATATATATATATGACTAACAGTAGAGCCCGGCGTTGCCCGGGGATGTAACAGTAAGAGATAGATCAAGTATCGACCATCATAAAGACTGAAAAATAAAATTGACAAAGATTATTGTTTAAGGTTGATGGACACGCATGTCTTAATTAGTTTTTTTTTTTTTTTACGAATTGGTCAAACCCAAATTCAAACAAAAACATTGTTTAAAATCGTTATGAGTCTATCGATTGGTGAATAGAATTTTATTATAAACAATTGTTTTGTAAATGAAATTTTTAAAGCACTCTGAATGTAAAAATAAAGAAAAAAATGTGCAAGACAATAAGAAACACTACCTGCCAAAAAAAGTGAAGTTTTTGTTGAAATCGGTTGAAAAATGTAGGTAGCCTTTCTCTGTAATCTTTTACAATTTATGATTTTACTTATTGAATATAGTAAAAAAATTGCATATTTTGCTTGTGGTGATTCATAATTAGAATTCTGATTTGAATATATTTTCCACTCGTTGTTTCTAATACAAAAATATTAACTTTATTTGGGTTTATTAATTTATTACAAGTACTGTGTTCTTTCCTTAATAATTATCATCTTCGAAATATTGTTTTTTGTCTATCAGATTTCTTACGTCGGCATTTTTAAATTATTTCTTAATACTTTCTTTTAAATATTGAATTAATTTCAAATAGAACCAATGTCTTATTGATCTGCCTTGTAACAAATTGCAAAGGGAATTGTAAAAACGGCCCTAAAGTACGTGGAATTATCTTTCCCTAAAAATAAAGAATTATCCGATTTTTCGATTCGTACAATCAGTAGAGATCGTTAGATTATTGTTTAGGTTGACGGACACGCATGTCTTAGTTTTTTGTTTTTTTTTTTATGAATTGGTCAAACTCAAACAAAAACATTGTTTTCAATATCGTTATGATGAGTCCCCCGATTGAATAGAATTAGAATTTTATTATAAACAATTGTCTTGTAAATGGAATTTTTAAAGCATTCTGAATGTATAAATAAAGAAAAAAGTGTGCAAGACAATAAGAAATACTACCCGTTAAAAAAAAAGTGGATGTTTGTTTTATCGGCTGAAAAATGTAAGAATTCCGATCCCATATATAAAGGAACACACACACACACACACACACACACACACACACACACACAACCTGGGTTTTTTAACCTAAGTCACTCCACGGAATCGCTAAAACATAGAGCATAGTCTGATGAAAAAGACGCCAAAGTTTATGAAAACAAAATTTTATCGTCAAAATGCTTATGTTTTTATGAAGAGGATAGACTAAATTTTTTAATAATTATTTTTAAAAAATTTTTCCATCTTTTAGAATATTCTAAATTTTGATTTAAAAAACCTTGTTTCTCTTTGTCGCAACAAGGGGTAGTAAATAACATATATTAAAAATTTTTTAGCGCGTTTTTTTTTTTACACACATTAATTTGGAAAATCTTGCAAAAAATAAAAATAATTGTCAGATGTTAATGAAACTTTCAGAAACTATTCACAGATGATCAAAATTATTATAAATAAATATTTTTTTTATTAAAATCATGGCAGAAATATTTTTTATATTTAACACCCCCACAACTAATTTTATGAAAAACTCTAGAAATTCGAGACCATCGGTTTTAGTGATTACAATAGTTAAAAGCACAAGGCTTTGAAGAATGCAAATCATGTGTTTTTTTTTTTTTTTGGCCAACGTACCTGAAAATCAGCTGTGAATTGTAACATACAAAACTCAATAAAACAAATATATTATTTAGTTTCAAATGCTTTTTATTTGTTTTAATTTGTTTTTTATGAATATGGACAATATTTTCTGAAAGCAAAAAAATTTTTCAATGAAAATTGAATTTTAATACAATTATTTCTTATTTCTTTAATTTTAAAAAGATTTTTAAAATTTTTTAAATTGAATTTTTAAAAATATTTTAACATTAGTTAAAAGCAACATCAACCTTTCAAAAATGTCCGCGTGAGATTGTCATTGTCTAGCGCTTTGAAAAAATTGTATAATTTGGACCAATCAGATTAGCCATGGTAATTAAGAAATGTAATTTTTGTGTTTATAGTCGGACAGTAATTATCAAGTACGGAAGACCAACCAGAATACAATTTAGTTGCATTATTTGAGTTCAGCATTGTTCTCCGCTGTTAAGCCCTTTACTTTTGCGAAACACGTATGGAGAAGTTAATTTGAGTTTTCAATTTCAACTGAGAAGGGTACCTACAAGTAACAGTATCACCTTATGAAATTTAACTACTGCTAAACTTTAATTTATATGATCTTATTTTTATATTAATCTCAGTTATGACATTTTTCCATAAATGAAATATCAAAATTAATAATAAAATGAATGGAAATACAAATAACACAGTAAAATGTAATAAATGTACATAAAATTATAGTATTTTATGTACACTTCTGATAAAATTTCATAAGAAAGGTACCTAAATTAATTAGATCCTTTTTTTCTTTGAAATTTAATCTCACTATTAACAGTCTTATTTTTTTAATTTCTTTATATTTTTCATAAAAGCATCGTAAACGTAAAAATGAAAGCTAAGTACAAAAAAATAAAAAATTAGAGCACTGAAAGTTTTCCTTAAAAGTAACGAGGTAAATAATTTGTTCACTTAAATAATTTCACTTCCTTCCATCCGTAGAAAGAATTATCCTCCCGTAAATTATCTAAACGTCATGAATGTGCCTTTCGTCAAGCGACGCGAAAGGTTATGACCTGCTTGTTTTTTATTTTCAAATTACATTTTTCGGCGCAGAAGCTAAGTTAACCTTTTGGTTCAAGATATTTTAAATAAACAGTATAATTTCTGTTTTTATTAAAATCAGTTTTGAAAAAATGATAATTGATTTTTAAAAGAAATATCAAAATCAAAAAAAATGAAAATGATTGATTATCTGTCCTTTTTTTTTGAATAAAAAAAAAAACAATATATTTAACGAAAATTTCAGACGTGCTAGGAACGATTAAAAATCAAAAAAAAATACCCCAAAATACTTTGATCTTTTCTCTTTAATAATAATATGAACATTAGACGATAAAATTTTGTTTTCGTCAAGTACGGCTTTTTTTCATCATGCTATGCTCTTTTGTTTACATTTTCATTGGGTGAGTTGTCCCCTTTCATTCTCACGATGTGTCTTAATCGTGTTTTCAAATTGATTTTCTTAAAAACAATTTTTTTTTTCCCATTTTCGGCGCCGTTAGAACCATCACAAAGGTAATTTTTTGTAGTCCTGTGAAGTTTTGTTGAAATCGGCTAAAAAATGTAGGAAATTCGATCCAATATATAAACGTTACACACACACACACACACACACACACACAATCTGCGTTTTATAATAAGTAAGATAAAAAATAAAATAAATATAGCACTGCATAATACCTATGTAATTTTAAAATTTGCATGTATGTAATTAAATAAAATATTATATTTTTAATTTTTCAAAAATGTGAATAATTTAGATACATTTTTGTGAAATGGGTACAATTTTTTATGGTTATGAATTCTCTGTGGACCACTAGAAATGATATGTGGACCACCAGTGGTTCATCTGGACTACATTGAGAATCACTGGTATAAATAAATGTGTTGATTTTTGTAAATAATGATGTCCAAACATGATATTATCAGAAAATAATTAGTGGTACCTATAGAAAATTTAATATTTATTGATAATTTTCTAATATTTCCTCAATAAACATCTTCGTAAGTAAAAATCTAAAGCCAAAGTAACAAAAACTTAATAAAATATTACATGAGTAGTAATTTCTCATTATCAATTCATACGTCTTATCAATTCCCAGGTGTCCTAACCTCCTATGGCACTGGTCTAGAATTTCAGCTCTCAACTTCTCGGTTATCACCATTTTTAAACTTACTTCTTCACCTCTTCCTGAAAGGTAATACAACACTCTATCATGCACCATATATTTGGAGGTACACCCTGCCTCTACCCTGGACCTGATAGTTGCTATCTCGCTATCCTCTTGGTTTTGCCTAATAATCTCTCTCCAGTGGAGGTTGGAAACATTCTCTGTTTCACTCGTTTCCTGATCTTCCCAACCAAGTCTCTCCTTCAACGCCTTTGAATTGATCACATTAATTTGGAATGCTTTATCATCCACACCCGACAAATTCGGTCTCTAATTGCCTCGGAATCCTCCATAACAGGTCAGCACAGGTATTATCCTTCCCTGCTAAATATTCTATTCTGCAGTTATACCCACTTAACTTCAATGCCCACTGTTGTATCTTCTTATTCGTCCACTTCGCCTCTAGCAAATATTTGAGGGGTTTGTGGTCTGTTAATGGTAAACACAGCCCCACTTAAATAATAATCTAATTTCTGCACAGCATAAAGAATGGCGAACGCCTCTTTTTCTATTACCGGCCACCTTTGCTGAGTCTCGGAGAGCCGATGAGACAGAAAATAGATCGGCACTTCCTCAGGCACACCCGGTACTGGTCCATCCTTATCAGGACATGGTTGTGTAAGAACCGCCCCGATACTCTTATCACTAGCATCGGTGTACAGCACCATGGGCTTACTCAGGTCTGGGTAGGCCAACAGGGGTACAGCTTTCATCTGGTCCTTTAGCGCCTCGAATGCACGCTGACAATCCTCGGTCCACTTAAACCTAGCATGCTATTAGAGGGCCTGCTAGCCCAATAAATGCTGGTATGAGCCTCCGATAATATCCGATGGATCCAATAAATCCCCTAATCTCTCTTACGATCTTCGGTGCGGGCATGGCTCTTATAACCTCTACTTTGTCTAAATCCGTTTTTATTCCTTCTTTGTTTATGATGAACGCTAATTACTTTGTCTCTTCTTTCATAAACTGACACTTTGATAATTATAACTTTAATCCATATTCTCTTAACCTATTGAACACCTGCAGATGATCAAAATTTTCCTCCAATGATTTTGAAAACACCATGATGTCATCTAGACACGCCATGGCAAAGGCCTCAGTGCCATTCAATACGATGGACATTAACTGATTAAATACACCCGGGGCTTTTGCTAACCCAAACGGCATAATTCTAAAATTGAAGAGACCTATGTGGCAGGTAAAAGCAGTCTTTTCTGATCCTTTTTGCTAAGTGCTACCTGCCAATATTCCGACCAAGGTGGAAAAACACTTAGACTTTCCTAAAAGAGCTAGAATATCATCAGTCAAGGGTAGGGGCACTGCCAGCGGTTTTGTAATGGCATTTAATTGACGAAAATCCACACAAAACCTATGCCCTCCATCCTTCTTTTCAACAATCACTATTGGAAAACTCCAGGGAGATTTGGATCTTTCGATTATCCCTGATTCCATCATTTCATTCACTGCGTTTTCTACTAATTTCCTTTTGTGGATTGGGGTCCTATACGGTCTTAACTTTATAGGTGGGTGATTACTCGTGTCTATCTTCATTTCAACTGTCTCCGTCTGTCCCAGTTCCTTATCCGTAATGCTATTACCTCCCAATTACCGTTCAGCAACCCCCTCAATTTCTTCCTATAACGCTCAGCAGCTGTTATATCTGCATCCCTTATTTCATCGATACCTGTCTTATTTCCAGGTGTATTCTTATTCCATACTCTCACCTGTTCGATTTCTCTCACTGGGCACGCATGTGCCAGCTCTTTCCCTGCTTTATTTTAATAGTTTTATTGGCAGTATTGGTTAACAGTAAGGGAACGGTCCCCGACCTCTTCACCAACGAATCACACACGGTTATTTACCCCTTCACTATTATCATACCTATCAGTAGGGACCACTTGGTACAGATCACTGTTCAGCACTCCTTCTGTTATAATCTCGCCCTTCCCAGATACAGTAGTCTAATGGGGGAAGCTTTATGTCTGTCGGGGCCACCACTGGCAATTGTTCATAAGTATCCTTTCCCAACAGTACCCCTACTCCGTCCAATCTTAGGGTGGCGGGGTCACTAAGCCAGTCACTCTCCAAAATTAGCTCACTACACAAGTCAGGTGCCACATAAACCTTAAGTTTACTTCTGGTTCTTGCCAACTGAAAAGGTAGCTACGTCATACCCTCTATCCTCATCCTGCTACTATCAGCCTGACTTATTAATAGATCGACGGGACTAAGCTTCGTTTTCAGTCACAACTGTCTAAAAACCTTGGAGCTAACCAGTAACACTGAAGCTCCAGTATCGACAAGGGCCTTCACCTTGTCTCCCAGCAACACATTACAGGTGAAGTCTGGCCCTTCCTTCAGCAAACGGTATACCTGTGCCTTTCTTCTTCCCGTATGTTCTCTCCCTTCCTCCCACTTTCTCGACAACCGAGACGTGGGAGTCGGTGACAGGAGTTCACCTTTTTCTAGGGGCTCCAATTTCTGCCTAGGGGCCCTCCTAGGTGGGGTAGAGATCGGATGACCCTCTTTTCTCGGACTAGCAACCCATTTCTCTCCTCCATTTAAGTTAGGGCTGTTCCGTTTGGTGTGGTCCATCTTTCTCTTGCGAGGACAGGCTCGTCTCAGGTGACCCGCTCCTCCACAGCACCAACACCAACACCTTCGCTCCTTACAACTTGCCGAAAAGTGCCCGACCACACCACATGTCCAGCATCTCAGATGTCTTACTTGCACTGGGGCCACCCTGCATCTTACTTTTTCACGGGTGACCCATCGGCGTTTCCCGGACGCTTTTCCTTCACGGTAGGGGGCACCAGCGTATTATCTCGCTTTATCCCCAGTTTACGGTCTCCCTCTGCCGTACACCACCGAGCTTTGTGCCCGAACTCACCACAAGTCGTGCAGTCTGGCCCCAAAGACCTTGGGTCGCCTCCATAGTTTGTCGGACAGTCGCGGGCCGATGCCCACCATACTTGTCCAAGTCCAGCACACCAGCCCATATCGGCCCGGTGTGGGCTTGTGAAAGCCATAACGCAGATCCCAGGCTCTCCTATTGGGAAATGTCTCAGCCTTGCACCTCTTCTTTCGGGTCCCGTATCTGGATCCGCTCCTGGTCCTTCTTTTTCATCACTACCATGAACCCCCCCCCTGGGGTTCCTACCTATACCCCTTCTTATTCTTTCCCAGTGTCGTTCGCTGGTCCGAGCCGCCTCTATGACTGCGGCCAGGCTGACCGGACCACCCTTCAGAACATCACCACTCAGGTCCCTGTCACTCAGCGCGTCCACATACACATCGGCTAATGAGGTCTGAATAGGATTACTGTCCCGAAGCGCCAACTCCGGAAAAGCTAACGCCGCTAGCCCCGCGATTCTTTCCCCCAATTCCTCATTAGTCTCTCCTCCTTGTTGCTGTAGCCGGAATAATTTCCTGGCTACCTCAATGGCCGTACGCTCACTTGCGTATTGCCGCACCAGAGTGGATTTAAGCTCTGTCCACGTCAGAATTTTCTTCGTAACACCCCACTATGAACTTGGACACCTGCCCCCTGCGGCGTCATAAGATAGGAGCACCATTTCTTGGTCCGAGAGGCCATAGATCACCTTCTTCTTCTGAATTATCAGAATCCATTCGTGCAGGTCTGCAGGGTTTCCTTTATAAGTAGGTAGCTTCATGCTACCTATCAGCCTCCTGAAACCCATCGATATTTCGGGGACTCCCACGCCCCCAAGGTCATTTGTGGCGTCTGATCCTGCTACACTCATCCTAGCGTCTTGTCAACTACCACTTTCCCACGAGAAGAGAGACCAACGACAGAACGAAAGGAAAAATACTTAACATGGTGGTGGCGCTTCAACTGCGTACAAAGTCGACAAAGTCAAAACAAGATCAACAATATTACTGGAAGATCTAAGTTCAATGAGCGAAAAAAGGAAACTAAAAAGTGACTTACCTGAGGTCCGCCGCTCCGTATTTTGTTTCTTTTTCCTCCTTCTTTTGCTTCCTTCTCTTTTCCTCTTCATGTCTCTTTCAGACCAATATAGTCCGAAGACTAGAGTCTTTTCTGGTCTTACTCGGTCGTGACTGGACAAAACAAATGCAACCTTCTCCTCCTCTTTCAGACGGCCGTGGTAACCCAGGTTCGAATCCTGGTCTCGGCACCAGTCTAACACTTTCGCCCCGTCCTCTCTTACTCTCGGGGTTGAGGTGTCTACTCGGTCCTAACCGAACTTAAAGGAGTGGCCACAGGTCCCCTGGGCACCCGTAGATTATTCGACCGGTCTGCTGGTTTAATCCTGCTTCCTGCCCACGTTGTGATTTGTTTGATCCAGAAAGCAGAAGTGATGTCCGTCCATTCACGGTCGACTGAAGATGTAGACACGGCTGGGGAGTCTGCGCTAAGAAATTTAGAATGCAGCAAAAAAAAAAAACTTAATATCTGTAGAAACCCGAACAAACATCGATTCAATGGTTGAATTGGTAATGTCTTTTATATAGCAGAAAAGAATAGTAGAGAAGAGAAACGGGTTACAGAAAAGAAAAGTAAAAAACATCTCATACACTGGATTCTAGACATACAGAGAGAGTGTGTGTGTAATTATCTTGTTGTTAAATCGTCTCAGAACGATATATGACTCTTCGATGGAGGGATAAAGATTTCTGTGCGGGGCTCAAAGTTATACTGGCGTTCCTCCTCCCAACGCTCGCCGGGGCCAATTCTCTTTTCTCTCTTCAAGAATTTTCTCCCGTCTGTCTTTTTCAGTATAAATACGCGTTTATATAGATAAACCCGGCTGATTATAACTGACCCTCAACCCAACTACTTCAGACCCGATTATCACGGGGTTCTGGCTGCTTTAACCAAAATCATGTTAATTCCAAAGTTCCTTCTAGCTTACTCAGCTCTATTTCAATTTTTAATCGATAAAAATTAATTCGTCCATGTCCATTGTCTATTGATGACCTAGATTCAATGGGTACAACTTCTGCCCTAGATCAGATTTCCCCCTCATTAAAAAATGCTCTGATTTAATTTCGCTATTCAAATCTTCTCCAATTTCACTAAAAAAAAATATACGCGTGTGTGTGTGTGTGTGTGTGTGTGTGTGTGTGTGTGTGTGTGTGTGTGTGTGTGTTTCCCAGACTCTCTCTGTCACAGTCACAAACACTGACCCAGGCGTACCACAATATTCCTAAAAACGACACAGTCTCACTTACCTTTACTACAGCCACCATAATACCTCATTGTCCTAGCGAAGGACTCATCCGAACAATTACCACGGAAGTATTTATAGAAAAGGTACAGAGAGGCAACATTACGGCAATGGAAAATGATTGAAACCAAGCCGCCATATCAGGACCAATAATATTGCTGATTCTTCTTGGGATTTTAGCAAGGAGGTCAAGGTAATTAGCAGGGTCATTGGACCATATGTGACAGCAATATTCCATAAATAACACAATCAATATGAATATTGAAAATCAATAAAAAAAAAAAAAGTGTGTCAGGTGGAGGGTAGGTGAGGGTTTTCAATGCAATAGTCAGGTGGGCTTTTCTACAGACTTTTCCAAGAAATAACCACATTTTTCATTTTTTTTTTTTTTTGTCATACTAACACCGAATAGACACTCATGATGAGGAGGTTTCAGTTTGATAAATAAAAATGATTGGTTTGCTTTGGTTTGGTTTACAGCATTTCAACGTCAATAGTTTATTTAATGCCGACAAGATTTTTACTGCTGGTAATATTTATTCCAAAAATGTATTGCTGGCAAGATTTTTTTACTTCAAGAATGTATTGCCGGCAATATATTTTCCTAAAATATACACCGCTGGTAATACTTATTTTCTTCAAAAATGCATTGCTCGTACTAAAATGTGTAAAAAGAGAGCGTGAAAAAGGGAGAGCGCGAAAATGGAGTATGCTTAATCCGCCTGCGTGCTTGTTGGCTATTGGTTTAAGCTTGTCACGTTGAAAGTGGAATCCATTCTCTTTCTGTGTTCACAGGAGATCGTTTTCACAGCCTAATGGTCGGACAGACAGTCAGCTGTCTCGGGTAGCCTCTAGTGTTAGCGTGTGTATGTATGAAGTCTCTTTCTCTCTCTATCTCTGCTCTTTTTTTCTCTGTCCTGTTCGGCTTTTCTTATTACCTATATAAGAGAAACGCACGGACGTAGTTGTAGACATCTGTGGAAAACGAGAGTCGTGTCGATAATGGCTAGCACTCTGGTATATTTGTGTTTGTTTTAAAATATGTTTTGAGTAGTGTGGGGCATGTGTGCGACTTAGCTAGACGAAAGTTGGTGTGTAGTTAGAGATATATACTTTCTAATAGTTGTATAAATTTGTCTTTAATTTTAGATCACTATGGTAAATTGTGTTTTTCTACTACAAATGCTCCCTTTTCTATAAATACTCTCAATGAAAGTATTTGTACTGATAAGCTTCGCTGGTACTAGACTTTATGAATTTCAATGCAGTATTAGATTGGCGGCTAAGTCTCATCATTTCACAGTTGAAATAACTATAAGATATTTTTTATCATTTCACTCCAGGCAAGGTGGCGAAAGTGAAAAAAGAAGACTGAGAATAGGGAGGATTGAGGAAAGGATAAAAGATGAACAGGGTTCAAGAAGACAGAAGATAACGTTTGACATTGCATTTAAATTTTTGAAGAGTGTAGTTACCAGGGAAGCAAGTAAACAGAAGGCAATTACACGGCTGGGGAGTGTGAGAAAATAAACTGTTTGAGTAGAAGTGGCGGTTGCATCTAGCTATTTCAACAGGACTTAGATGCCAATCTAGTAGCACGCTTAAATGCATGCCGTCAGAGCAACAAGGAAAAAGCTCGTCAGAGCAAGTAGCCATGAAAATATTTTTAGAAAAGACAGAGGAAAGCCACATCACATCTGTGAGAAAGGGACTAAAGTCAAGATGCCAAGTTAGGAGCAATTACATTGCAGATCATTCTTTGGATTTTGTCAAGAATCTTGAGATGTACACACATTTATATTAAAAATTTCGGGTTTTACACACTTTTGAAAAATACTGAAGTTTACGTCGAAAAACTACTGAATTTGGCTATTTTTTTATATACGGTTCTTTGAAAATTGAATTTGGTATTTGAAATCATTGGATACCAATAAAAATATTGATACTCGATATGGTATCGATCGAAATATATTGACTTTATCAAGTATGTCGGAGTTAGCTTCTCCTCAGTTCCTTAATCCTTCAACAGGGGTCTCTCTCCCCTGGCTATAAATACTGGGAGACCCTTTGCCTTGCCCTCTTTTTTTCCTCAGGCCTTGGGTCTTATACCACCTCGCAGATGTGAGCTCTCACAGATACAGCGTTTCCCAAATCTGGGAACACGCTAAGAACAATACACGTACGTACGAACATTCACCACAACACACACACATAATATTCACCACACGCACTAAATGTGCTTGTAACTTGTGTTAATACATATATTTGTTTGTATATAGTTATCGGTCTTGTTTGTTTTCTTTGGACTTAATTAAAGTCCAACTTTCTCGTGTACCTGGACTGGCTAGCAGTAAATTCTACCCACATGTGTTCTTTTACAATACATACTCATCAGCGCTACGGCCCACTAGAAGTATCAACAGTTTACACACAGTTATATAAAAAATTGTTTTTTTATTACAGAGTTTCGAAAAACATTGAAATTTACATCGAAAAACTTGTGGATTTTACTACTTTTTGAACGTTAAATACGAGAGTTTGAAAATTTCTTTTAGCATTTAATACAAAATTTGCTATTAAAAGATTTGGTATAAAATTGTTAAGAAGGCTTTTGGTGAAAGGTTGCGTTTTTGATTAGCACATCACATTTAAATTTTAAAAAGAAACACAAAGAAGGAATAAAAAAAGTATTCAGTAATCAACAATAACATGTATTGAAAAACAAAATATCTGATTTTACAACAATTGTGTTTGGTAAAACAAAGTTAAGAGGAAAAAGTTCCCCTTTTACTGATGTGAGATTGTAAAGGTGTTAAAAGAACTTTTATTTTGTTTAAAATGTTAAGCTAGTTCAGCAATATGTGATAACTGAGTTTAATAATAAAAAGCTGACGATTACAAAAAAGAATGATAAAATTATGTTTTGGTTACTTGGCTTTTTGGACAGACAATTCACGAAAATAAATGAAAATTGTATATTTTGTGTCTGTGTGATGAGTAAAGAATAAAAATTCACGTACGTGGTTGAGCGCTGGAGATTTACTGTTCTACTACTGCTCTTTTCTTTGATTTTCAATAGAAACATTTAAACTTTCTGAATAGGCTCCAGGAACAAGAGCAGGAAAATATTGAAAAGTGTTATATTATATTATTGGTAAAAATCAACCAATCACTGATTTTTTCTAAACCAGGTTTGGCAAAGTAAACATCAGAAAATTTGATGTGGCTCATGCGATGCATAAATTGTCCTATAGAAAATAGTGCTTATTTTCTATCCAACGGCTATTGAGTATTTTGTGGGCGTGGTGCATGTAAACAACCGCTACAATACATTAGAAAACAAATAAAAATTTTGAAATCGATATATTATCGATCGACAAATATTTCAACCAGTTTCAATATTTTACACACATATTAAAACTTTTGTGTTTTACACACATTTGAAAAACATTGAAATTTACTTGAAGAAAAACCAAATTTTTATTTTTCTTTTTGAAATAGGATAAGGTTGGAAAAAAAAATTGAATTCATAATAGGAAACTTTAGAAAACCAATAAAAATATTGAAAATCGATTTGGTATCGATCGACAAATATTGCTTTTATCATGTTTCAACATTGTACAAAGTTATATTAGAAATTTTCGGTTTTACCAACATTTGAAGAACATTTAAATTTACGTGGAAAAAGTAGAAGTTGGCTATTTTTGAATGCCATAACAAATTTGAACAAAAATTAAATTTAGTCTTTTTAAAAAAACATTAAGAAGCTTTTCATAAAAATTATTGAAATATTTTCATTGGTATTTGATCGAAAAATATTGATTTTCTGCAATGAGGAAAACAGTTCACTGAAAGTTATATTAAATTTTT